ATGAAAGCCAGAGGAGTACTGAGACCAGTTTGTTACCAGTTTTCCTCGGTGCTAACTATTACGTCAGACAACAACATGGCGGCTGCCGCAGGACGGTTTTTTCGTGCGAAATTATCGCGTTTATCTTTCAGTTACCTTCAGAAAAGCAGACCATTTATCACGACAGTATTCAGGTTAACTTCAAAAAATGCTTCAAGATGGCGGAGGTTCTATTTACCGCCAAGAAAGAGCTTACATTGGGGATTTGCTGTGGGTACTACAGGGGTACTATGCGGGGGTGTCGCATTTTGTGCTGCAAGCTCAGGTGATTTAATAGATCTAAATAAGTCTAATTCATCTGAGATTATGAGATCATATTCTTCCCCCGCCAGTCTTTTTGTTCTTTTGAAGAGAAAAGGAGAAAATTAAATACAGTAGTATAGTATTTCAGGCTAGAGGCGATGACATCAGCTTATTTAGTAAAATCCAACTCTCCAACTCTCTCCAAACCAATGCTGCGTTCTGATCGGTTGAGCTACTACTAGGCTATTTGTTATAGCCCACTAGTAGCGAAAAGCGCCAGCTTTGAAAACCAAAACAATGGCGGCTGAATCGCGTTTTGATAGCTTAAGTTGTTTTGTCTCAATATTTTTGACCAACTAGTTGTATTTTACTTAAACAATTATTCCTCTAGCCGTCATGGCCTCTGAGTCAATAGCCCATCTGGCCTTCGGCCTCATGGGCTATTGACATAGAGCCCATTCGGGCTCGACGAATAATTGTTAAATAACTGGGGGGAGTGGGGGTCACTCCATTATAAAAGTAAGGGGGATGCTCATCATCTCGCTTAGGGGTGTGAATTGCTGATTTCAGTCTCACTTAAGGTGTTCTGGATGGAAAGTTACTATATTTGCCCATTCAGGTATCGCTTAAGTCTGTGCATAAAGAAAGTGACAAAAAATGCCATGTATTAGTATGGTCTCCTTTAGGGGTCAGTTTAAGCTTGAACCTGACCCACATTAGTATCAAGGATTGTCAATGCTGTTAGCTCCCCAGAAATGTCTTTTCAAGGCCCCCTCATCAGGAGCTGCAGGGGATATGTGTGTTGATATTAAATTAATGGAATGCCCTTAGAAATAAAAAATTTTCAAGCCTTTTTATCCCCCCTCCCTTGGCATTTTGGCATTAGATACCAAGACGTGTGCTTCCAAGTCTGTGCATTTTTCGTCAGCTAATGTCCAGTCATTGCCATTGTGGTCTAAAGTTTTTTTTTTATTATTGTCATTTTATTGATTTTCTTTATAACAGGTATAGTTGAAAGGATGTGCAGAACAGCCAAGCATAATGACAGTACAGAACTTCAAAGGTATTCACCATTTTTTCTTGAATTTAGACACCCAGTCTGTTTGATGCTATTATGACTGTTATCGTCGTTACGTATGGGACCCATGCTTCTGACTCTATTGTTTCTCTGTTGCATTTTAGACTGATCAGCCAAGGTCATGATGTGAACCAGAGACATCCTCTGGGATGGACTCCACTTCATGTAGCTGCCATGAACAGGAGTAAGCGGTAGGTCGTGCAACAACCTCCAGGGTTGTTACTAAGATTTCAAGTTACCGGGTAAATACAACAAGTAGGCAGGGAGTCAAACGGCTAGGGATTTCTTTTGGTTCTATTTTTCTTCTATTTTGCAATAAAAGTAGCTGGGGAAAATCCCCGGCCCCTGGGTCTTAATGACAACCCTGAACCTCCCATCTATAAATCTTTGAATAATAACCATCTCAAGAGATTTTTATGCAGTAAAAACATGCTTCCATTTTTTACGTCCTAGCGTATTTACAATGTGGTTGATGTCCAGCCAACAGATCGTGTGTATACAAGCCATGGCAGCTGTCTCTGATCTGTGATTACTTTCCGTTACATTTAAAGGTGTCTAGCATTGCTTATAGAAGCTGGAGCTGATGTCAATGCAAGAGAGGAATTTAGTACAGCTTTCAAGACAGCTCAGAAGAAACACATGAGATCTTTTGATGGTTTGTCTTTCCTGTATTCTAAAAGTAAAAATCAGTCAGACAGATAGTCTAAAAATAATGTTAGCTACCTGTTTGAAACACCCCACCCCACCGCCCAATGGGCAGCCTGCCAGTCATGAATGTCAGCCTTTAATAGAACAGTATCTGCTTTGTGATAAGCTAACTGTGCATTGTCAGATAAGTAGATGTTGAAAAGGAAGAAAAATCTAAGAGAAAATATGTCGTTGTTCAGATTTCTATCACTCAATTTTTTGTTTAATGATTTATGTGCGCAGTGATATTCATACGAGACGATGACTTCAGTGAGAGGCTCCACCGGAGTGCAAACTTCAGTGGATTCACCCCACTTCATTATGCGGCTCTTGCTGACAGCCTTGAATGTGTTCATCTGCTTGTTGATGCAGGTAATATAAGTTTGTAAAAAGTCAGGGGCACCCAATGACGGTTTCCTCCTAAATACATTGAAAACTCTTTTTAGGCTATCCAGAGTACTTTTAGATCTCTAGAAATGCATTCTAAGCAGCACTATAAAATTTGTATCTGTTCAGTCATCCTAGGGGAACTCAAGTCTTTTTGAAATTACAAGCGCTTCAGAATTATTTTCCCGAAAATTTTAGATGCAATTTAATGTTTTATGAAAATGAAATTTTTCTTATTCCTCCCTCCATCACATTTCTGAATCTCAAAGTTTTAGGTTTTCTTTTTCTACAAAAATTAGCCCAACATAGGGAGTAAAATGTGAGAATTAAACTTCAGAAAATCATAGGGAATGTATTAGATAAGCTTCAAAAGTTGTACCTAAAAGGAAGACTCATCTAGAAATTTTCAGTCATTCTCAAGAAAAAGAAAATTTTAGGCTACATTTACTTCTCTGAACAGTTAATTCAGAAAAAACAGTCTTTGGGTGCCCCTGAAAAGTAGCGTTATTTGTTTTAAAAGTTAGTCATGCTGGACCACGGCTGATGTCACTTGGTTTATGTTGCTTGAAAAAGGTGTGGTTTGTCAGATAGGTTAAAGATACTGGAGAGATTTAGCCTGATTGCATTTAAGAAAAACAGGCAGCTGAAAAATTTCAAAATCAACAACAAAATAACAATGATAATAACAACGTCCCCGACTAGGTTGTGACTTTCTACTAAACCCCGTATGTCGATACCTTATACGTCCTTCACTTTTTTAGTTTCTTAAGAACTCGTTATTTTAGGAATTGGTATGAATGGTTTTATGTCATATTTTATTTACTAGTTTCTGAGCAAAACAGGAGAAACTGCATGCCAAAAGGTATCATTCCCATTGATAGATCAGATCATCAGTTCATCAATTTTATTTTCTATGTTGCAACTGAGTCTGGATGTTTAGCAGCCTTGGTTTTCTTATCTGTTGCCTTTTGCTAGTTGCATGCATCACCACATTGTACTACATCTCTACAGTTTGAACATGCAACACAAGTATGCAGCCTAGTACTACCACTTCTTTTCCTTAACATTTTAAACCACATTTGACTGTTTTGTGTAGTATACCAAAGAGAAAGAGAAAAAGGAAGCAGAAGAGAGGCGGCGCTATCCTCTGGAGATGAGACTTAGAGAAAACATAGTGGGACAAGAGGGAGCCATACTTTCAGTTGCTGCAAGTAAGTGTTTGTAGCTTAATAAATATTATGACACTAAACAATATTAATATTAGTTTAGTTAGAACTAAATGTAATCAAATTAACTGCTTATTTGTAGCTCTCCAATATAAGCAACCCTTTCTTGGTAAGAAGAAATTTCATTCTATAAAAAAATGATCTCTTTCAGCAATACGCAGGAGAGAAAATGGCTGGTATGATGAGGAGCATCCCCTTGTGTTTCTATTTCTTGGTTCCTCCGGAATCGGTAAGTATCAAAAACTCAAGCTGTAGTTACAATGCCAAATGCATTGTTAAACACCTCAATAATAGCTCATTTAACCACCATTCACCATCTTTCCACTTTGAACTTGCTTGCTTGATTTATTTTTCTTGTAGGAAAAACAGAACTAGCAAAACAGGTTGCCAGATACCTACACAAAGACAACAAGAAGGTACATCAAGCAATAATTGGCTAGATTTTATCAGTATTCAGATAAAACTGATTATTGAAGACCAACAGTCAAATCTTTTTTAACAGACACCTCTAGGAAACAGAAACCTCCCTCAGCACATCAACAGACATCAGTTTTGTTAATTTAATCTTTGCTGTTCTTCAGTTATGTTCCTCACTCAAATTAAGTGCTTTTTTCAAAAACATGCGAGTTCTAAAGTTCAAAAGCCAACTGACGTTTGTGTTCTTCACTGCCATCAGTCATCTTTAGCAGACCTCTTAGGAAACAGAAGTTAACTTCAACAGGTTTAAAAGTTCAAGGATTGTGATAATTTTGTTATTGGTGCATTTTGATCTGTTTTGTGTGTTTCTGTGGTTCCAGGTTTGTTGCTTGTGATCGTAATAGTTTATTATGATTGACGGCTTCAAAAAGAGAGTTCATGTGTTTTTGAAAAGCACAGTAACCCTTTATAGGGTGCCACTTAGGTGGACACTTTGTGCCAAAAAAATGCCAGTGTGTCTGTCCTTTTGCACTAAAGGAGATTGTAGCAGATTTGTGACAAATCCAGAACATTTTGATATCGGATTCACTTTGCCATTTACACACAGATTGTGAACCTGAAAAAAAAGTCTCAGGTTGGTCAGGTGTCGGGAGTTTTTAAATTTGGAATCTGAAGTGAATTTTTTATTTTCAAATGAATGTTCTTTTCATGATTCAATTATGTATAATAATCTTATTATATAGTTATTTTTTATCATTTCAGGGTTTCATAAGACTGGACATGTCTGAATACCAAGAAAAACATGAGGTATGTATAACTCAAGTTCAGCTTTATTTGGAACTTTAACAAATAAAGGCGGCCAATTTAAGTCTGTCATTGTCTGATGACCGACTGTTATTTTCCGCTCAAGACATGTCAAACATGTTGAGTTGTTGACAGTGGCACAATGTAGAAGCCAGTTTTAAAATGTAGCTTTGTTCTTAGGTGGCAAAGATGATTGGTGCACCCCCAGGGTACATAGGTCATGATCAAGGAGGACAACTAACTAAGAAACTCAAAGAATGTCCTAATGCTGTGGTGCTGTTTGATGAGGTCAGGAGAATTTTCAATTGAACGTCCAGGCACGTTCACCTAAATTTTGCTTTTGCATTGCCACTTCTTGTCAATAATAGGGACCTTACAATTCGACAGCAGAGACGTCATTGATGACGTCACTGAAAAACCAACTTCAAGTCATTTTGAACTTCATTATTTCCACTCGTTCAGTCTTTTTAATTTGGGAAATTAAGCTGGAGCTGAAGAAAGAGAGCACCAGACACAAACTCAGATAGACAGAGTTTAATATCACCTTTCCGTTCACTCTTGAGAACTAAAAAACTGGTCATTTCATATCGTACACATGTAGTTTGCAGGGACTTAATTTACAGAAAAGCTTGATGCACATGCTGAGCTGTTTCTTTGCTCATTAAAATCTGTTACATTTTTTACGTTCCCCTTGTCGTTGCTGTCAGAGGACGAGTTAGGGGAACCATTAGGGTAAGCCTAACTTAAATATTTCCCATGCTTTTATTAATGTACTTTGGACCATTACCTTAAGGTTTCCGTAACATAAATGTTACCCGGTTATGTGACATTTTACTTTACCCAAGTCATTTTATTTTAGTCGCTGCACACAAAAACGAAACTTTCTTTTGTTAATAGATTTTTTTGCCTTCTTTAGGTAGATAAAGCTCATCCAGATGTTTTGACGGTCATGTTGCAGTTATTTGATGAGGTAAAGTACTTGTGTGTTGCCGTCGCGCTGTTTCCTTAGACAAGAAACTTTGCTCCACTTTGTCTCTCTTCATCTAGGTCTCAGTTATACAAAGGCTGGATAGCAAATCTTTTTCCAGTCGATAAGTGTTAGGGAAACCAATATTGCGCTATCCAGCTGTGAATAGAGATTTATCCAATGGACAGCGTTAGCCACCTTTTTAACAACTTAGGCCAGGATAGATTTTGTTGGCCACACCATTTGGCGCTGGCCGGCACAGGTTTGTAAGAACGCGAGGTATTTGTGTCTTGTAGGTTATACACTAGGCCTTGAAAAGTGGCTATAAATGATATCGCTTTATTAAAAGAATAAAGTAAAGTGATTTACTAGATAGTTCGCAGGACATTAGTATGCCGGCATTTTGTTTATGCTGCTGTTTTAGGGCCGTTTAACAGATGGTCAGGGAAAAACCATTGTTTGCAAAGATGCGATCTTCGTGATGACGTCAAATCTTGCAAGTGAAGAAATAGCCAATCATGCGCTAGAACTGAGAAGAGAGGCAAAAGAAGCCGCTGAACATAGGGAAGAAGGTGAGAGATGCACAAAGGGAAGTTTTTGAGTTTTTCTAATTGTTAGAGCGATTTTCGTATGACCTTGAAAAATGGTTTCGCAGTTCACATCATCTTCAAAACTTATTTTCATAAGAGAGGTTTTACTCGTAGCCTCGTTTTGAAAGTGAGAGTTTTTGGAATTTGTAAATAGCTTATTTTAATGAGCAGTTTTTCCAGCTTTACTGCACATTTGCTTTTTTTACTCGTCTGTTATAATTAGATGGCGAAATAAGCGAGAAGGTGACCATATCAAGAAAGTTCAAAGAGAGGGTGGTGCAGCCAATCCTCAAGGTAAGCGAGGAATAGTTGACGACCGTGCATTTTTCAGTCTTTGTAAGCGTAGCCCCCCACGGAGGTGATTTTAGGGGACACCGTAAAAATCACCTGCGTGGGAGACTAGTGTTCGCACTGCATTTTCTTCCGTTTTGTTTCTCTCTGTGTTTATTGTATGCTACTAACAAAACATTATGTCAACAACACGAGGAAACACACCCATTTATGCGGCAGTTTATAATTCATTGAAATCTAACGTGTGAAACGTCACGTTTATTCTTGTCTCCTAACGCCCCTATTTGGTGTAGTTTTTACGGTTTTTTCAAATTTTGATGAGGATCATTTGGCGAAAATCCGTCGACTTCGCTGAAAAGAGTACCTTAAAATTAAATTTCCCAAGTTTAAAAGTGAAACGTCTAGAGAGAGGGAAACTATAGCTCCCCCAAAGTCGCGAATCTTCCCGACGTTGAGGGCTCCAACAAGTGTCTATAAAATTTGGCGGCTTTTTGGATTGTCTTTGTTCTTTTTCAACAAACCGCTCTCAAACTTGGCAATTTTTACTATTTTTTAGGCCCTCTTATTGATTTTCAGTAACTGGTCCATGTCCAAAGATGCAATGCGCTGAAGCCCGAAGGGGCTTATTAGCGGTGGGGCTTGTTTTCAAAACGTGACGCTACGGGATTGTGGATGTCGTAAAGTCAACATATTTGCCTATAGCAAAAACCCTGATCATGCCTAAAATAAGATTATTATTTTAAGAAAAAAGTTTAAGATTTCGCCAGAAAGTAAGGAAACGTCTTCTTCCCTTTGACAGCTTCACTTCAGACGAGATGAATTCCTTGGACGCATCAACGAGATGGTGTACTTTCTTCCCTTCTCGCGCTCAGAGCTCATCACCTTGGTTACAAGAGAACTCAACTTCTGGGCAAAAATGGTTTGTAAATCTCTCTTCACTATAATTCCTCGGATATCCTCTTGGTGCTCTCATGCTTTCCTTTGCTTATGGTTTTGCTCTTTGTTAGCCTGAGAAAACAACCGACATTTCGCGACGTCGGCCCCACTGGTTTCCCCGCGAAATGGGGTCCGGGCGGCTGAGGAACGAGCGCAGAAATTCCATACTGATGACATTCCACCACTCAGATATGGACAGTGCTTTTGATTGGTCGCGCTGCGAGGGAAATTGGCTTGAACCAATCAGAAGAACTGCCCATATCTGGGTAGTGACACGTCATTAGCATGGAATCTCTGTGTTCGTGACGTCGCGGGAATGTCGGCTTTTTTCTCAGGGTAGCAGTTTGTTCTTTGGTTTGTTTCTGCGAAAGTTTTCTTGGAGGTTTCTTTTAGGCCTTTTCCTTTGTGAGCTAAATGTCCAAAAACGTCAGAATCCTTTAGTAAGTTTTTAAGTGACATTTTTTTATTATCCTTTTTTGATCCAGGCTTTAAACCGTCACGATATTCACATGTCATGGGACAGGGAAGTCTTGGATGTGCTGGCGGATGGATATGATGTACATTACGGAGCTCGATCGATTAAGCACGAGGTAAGATTGATTTACCCTCTCAGGGTAGAGGATTTGTTCGTTTTGCAAACAAATAAGGATCTGGCCACCATTGCAACCAGGCAATCCCAACACGCACCAGCTATAAAATAACCTTATAAGAAGGCGAGGCAGTCGGTGAAACGAGTGCTTATCACAGCTAAGGTCAGCGTAAAATGCAGAGAAATAAACAACTCAGTGCTAAGCGCGAGAAAACACTTTTCGTAATCTAAATCACGATTGGATCGAATCACGGCAAACTCTTACAGCAGATGACTAAAACAGTCTAGTATAAATTCTTTGAGAGATCGCCGATGGTCATGCAAAACTGATGTTTCTCTCATTCATTTGTTCTAGGTCGAGAGAAGAGTCGTCAATCAGTTAGCTGCTGCGCATGAGCGAGAGTTGATAAGCCCCGGATGCTCCCTGCACATAACTGTGGGCCACCCCAAAGGCGAAGGTGGACGGAGTTTTGGAGAAGATTTAGCACCGATAATAAAACTGCAGCTCATAAAAGAAGGAAAGAAAAAAGTCGATATTGACGTTGGAGACGTGTTTGTCCCCGAAGACAAGCTGTTCTTTTAATCGAGAAAAACGATGCGTTATGAAGAACTGGAGTTATGTGTCGGCTTGTCATCATATTCCTCCTCCTCATTGTTTAAAGTGACCTGGAGTTTACCTTTCACGGCGAAGACGGAATAGTGTACACCTCATGAAAATAGGTTGAATGAACGCCAGAAAACAATGACCATCCTTGTAGGGCAACTTGCTATTTCAAGGTTTATAGAGAACGTATCGATAAACAAAATGGCGCATATGGTTGCGATAAAGGAAGACATTTGGGAAGTTGTGAACAACATCAAGCCATCGTTTTTTCATTGTCCCTTTCCTTGGCTTTGCTGTTCTACTTGTTTAGTCCTTCGTGGTCTGTAATGAGTAGAATAGATACTACCCCAAACTCATGTTGGACATTCCATGATTATTACACAAGTAATACACTTGGTAGAGAACCATTTATCATATTCATTGGGCATATTTTTGGGGACAGTTTGATAATCCAAGAGGGTCTGGTCAGTTGTTTAAAGAAAAGAGTTGAGTATAGGGTTTAGCACCAAAGTACAATGAGTAGGGCTAAGCACTGTTTTAAGAACGGTTAGCTTTTAAATAATGTCATGAGCAGTGCCTTTTAAATTCGTTTAAAAATAACCTGTGTCGGCAGTTAGCCCTTGATGGTGTAGTGGATACAGATGTGAATTATAGATCAGTTGATGCGGGTTCAAGCCATACAGAATTTCCTTCCTTCTTTTTATATAAGAGAGATCTTTAGTTTCGAGGACGATATTTAACTTACAGGGGTTGTTTTTTAGTGTTCTCAAAACATATACACCCTGGAAAGCTTCATTGTCCTTGTTTCATCAGAAATGTTAGTACGGTTATTTGTTTTGAAGGAGGTTAAGCCCTCTCCCGATCTCAAAATGATAAAGCTTTTAACCATTCGTAACTTACGACCGTAGTGGAATGACGACGGCTATCACGTTTTCCCGCCAAAATGACGCTGGTTCACGCGCGTGCACTACTTAGTATAGTGAGAAAATCTCATTCTCGTAGTCTCCAGGCCCCAGTTGTTCGAAAGGTGGACAGTGCTATCCACTGGATATATTACTATCCAAAGGATAGCGCGATGGGTTTTTCGTAACACTTATCCTCTTGATAGGGCTATCCAGCTTTTGAACAACCGGGGCCTGGTGTTATTAGAATCTAAAGATCTCTAAAGCCTGGTAGCGAAGTTTGAAGTGTGCGTACAGTTGTCTCGTGATTATTTTGTTTGTTTGTTTTTACAGAAAAGTTTCCAAGTAACGCTGCGTTTCGTCAGGTTCTCGGAGAACAATTATACGAAACATCACCAAGAATTACTACTTAGTAGGATACCATACTTATTAGTGCTCGTAGCGCTTTTCGTTCTATGGGCAAAAGAACTGAGAATAGTCCAATAAAGCCTGGCAATATAAAGTTTATGTTTTTGCCAAGAGAAGCTCGTCAGTGTCACACAGTCACGAACCGTAATAAATGAGTGTCGCTGTCGCGACGGTGCGACTTGGTCACGTGGGTAGCCTTTCGTGATTCTTGTACTGTCAAATTCTCTTGTAAAAAACAACAAACAACAAATTTTATTGAAAATTGGAAAATAACTAATTACATTACTTTCCCACCCGCAAATAGCTTATGAACTAATCGAGGCGGGGGGAGCTGAACACAATTTACAAAACAAGATTTATATATAGATGGACTAAATAACAGTGAAGACACTACAATACAGTAAATAGAATTTAAACTAACATAAAACAAGGCATGTACATAACGATTACGAAGAGAGGCTAACCTAAAGTATTAAATAACTTAATAAGACGGGAGACTTCGACATAATCATCTTCTGACCGNTTGCATCTGTAAACTTGGGGTGGACGCCGGCGTTCCCACTGGCGAGGATCTGTTGTTGAGACTTGAAAGAGTGGTCTTCTTCGTCTTACCGGCCTAGTACGCTACATGGCCGCAAAATTCTGCACTGTGGATCCTTTGAAACTGGTCTTCGTTGGCCTTCTTCTTGAACTTACGTGGTTCGCTATACTTTAGTTTCTTAATTTCTTTCATCTGCTGCTCGGCAAAATATTCGTTAGCGCGCTTGATTTGACCAACGGTTTCTGTTAACAAATCTTTAAACGAGTCCATTAACTGTTTGTTATTCTCCTAAATGAGATCGGACACTTCGTCTTTGCTGACGGATATAACGCAAGAAAGAGCCGATAAGAGCGTTAAGAAAAACCAAAGAGAGGTTGGTTTGTAAGCCTAGATGACGTACACGTGATATACGCTGCCTTATATACCCCCGATATGGCTACCCATGGTGCACCCGGCCTAGTACCCAGGCCCTGTTGTATCTCGTGCCGTCAAAATATTTATTTCTGTCTTCTTCGCTGGCTCATTCGTCAGAAATAACATATTTTCAAACACTATTATTTTCTTCATTTTTTACATTTCATAAAGTTTCATTTCGTAAAAATGAGCTGGCGTCTCCTATGGTACTGAGTACAAGCTCAATAATTCAACTATACGTGTTACACACCACATAAATACATAACCCAATAATTAACTTTCTTTCTTTCTACAATCGTTAGAAGCCTCAAGCTATTAACAAGCAGCCACACGCAAATCACCAATCTTTACACTTGTTCTGTATTACCTGAGTAAAACGTCGTAATTAAACTAAGTTTCTTATAGAGACAGGGAAAGAGACAGGACTAACTAGGATCTAAATTCTTAGGGCCGCAAAGCTGTAGATGGCTTAACAAAATAAGATAATTATTTTAAATAAATGATGGCAGTTCAAATTACCTAGTATATGAATGAAGAGCTAATCTATCCTCCTGATGAATTTTCGTTGACCACAGTGTCCATGGACTGTTTTTGAACATTCCTAGATAAAGAAGTACTTTACAGTTCTAAAGAAAAAGTTTTGTTACGTTAAAATTCACGACATGGTTCAATGAAATCTCTAAACAATTCCTTGTTCTATCATGGATTGAGCCACCTTCATGAAGCCGCCAATATTCGCGCCCTTTACATAGTCGGTGTAGCCATCTTTCGAGGTACCATACATGACGCAGGTATTGTGAATGCTCTCCATGATGTCATGCAAGCGTTCGTCCACACCCTCACGGGTCCAGGCGTGACGTAAGCTGTTTTGAGACATCTCCAGACCGGAAACTGCCACGCCCCCGGCATTGGACGCTTTACCAGGCCCGTATAGGATCTTGTGTTTCTGGAACACTTCAATGGCTTCCGGCTCCGTGGGCATGTTCGCGCCTTCTGCCACACAGTAGCAGCCATTTTCGACCAGCATTTCCGCGTCTTCCTTGCTCACTTCGTTTTGAGTTGCGCATGGTAGAGCGACATCACATTTTACAAACCATGGCCGCTTCCCTTGGAAGAACTCTGCATCGGGGAACTTCTCCACAAACTCGCTGATGCGTCCGCGTTTTACATTTTTCAGATATTTGACGTACTCGATCTTTTCCTTGTCCAAGCCGGAGTGGTCGTAGATGGTCCCTGTTGAGTCAGACAGCGTTACCACCTTGCCACCCAGTTGCATGACTTTCTCAGACGCAAACTGTGCCACGTTCCCGGACCCAGATACCGTAACCTGTTTTCCCCTGAAGGTCTCGCGTCGCGTGTTTAGCATCTCCGCGGTGAAGTACACGAGGCCGTACCCGGTGGCTTCCGGTCGTAGCAAACTTCCCCCAAACGAATACGATTTACCGGTCAACACCCCGGTGAATTCATTGCGTATTTTCTTGTACTGGCCAAACAGGTAACCGATTTCTCTTGCTCCCACGCCAATATCTCCGGCCGGGACATCCGTGTTTGGGCCGATGTGCCTCTGAAGCTCGGACATGAATGACTGGCAAAAATTCATTACCTCGTTGTCGCTCTTTCCTTTCGGGTCGAAATCCGAACCTCCTTTTCCACCTCCGAGAGGAAGGGTCGTGAGACTGTTTTTTAACACTTGCTCAAATCCAAGAAACTTAAGAATTCCTAAATTGACAGAGGGATGGAAGCGCAGACCCCCTTTGTAAGGGCCAATGGCTGAATTGAACTCCACACGGAAGCCCCTGTTAACATGGGTCTCTCCTTTGTCATCCCTCCAAGGGACCCTAAAGATGACGACCCTTTCTGGTTCCACGATGCGCTCTAAGATGTTGCCCTCAAGGTAGGCGGGGTTTTCGAAATCCTTCAGGGTATTCCTCGAATATTGAAGAAGCTGCCGGACTACTTTGAGCACAAGTGGGCCCAAGAAACGATATTGTTGAACGACGTATTTTAGTAGATGCAAGAACATGAAGTAGATTTTGTTTTCAAAAAATGCCCTTTATTTGAGTGTCAATCTATTTAGCACTAATTTACTAATCGAGGATACTATTTTTACGTCTCCTACTGGAGAGGGGACGGCCATTTTACGTGTTCATCCGAGCCACGCGAAGGTCTAGCCGTTTCCAAGCAAGGCAAGAGCAGTACTTTCATTTCTCAGTTATTTTAAGACCCTGAGTATTGGTCCGGTCCCGGGAATGGAACCCACACCGCCTGTTCTGTAGTCAAGCGCTTTACCGACTGAGCTAATCCTGCTGTGGTTAAAAGTCAATTAGATATAGTGTCAATAGTTAAGGTTATAGGCAAAGAACGGTCTCGAAAAACAACAACAAGAAGAACAAAAAACAGTGTGGCTTAATTTAATCCGGTGAGAAGGATGACTCCCATATACGAAAAGAAAGAAGATGCTCTTTATCTCGCTTGGGGTGTAAATTACAGATTTTGGTCCGACTTAAGGGTCTTCAAGACGGAACACCAATATTACCCATACAAAGATCTCTTATGACTGTAATTAATGCATATCTTTGAAAACAATTGCTGTCATTATCTGCGATACTATACTATGTTGGTGTATAAAGCCACGTCCAGATTAGTATCTACGGGAGCTTAATTCTAATTTTTCAAACAGCATCCTCGATTCTTCGCGCGACGGGGAAGGCACGGAAATTAGCTAACTGGATAGCTGCGTTCACTACATGAACGGCAAAAGAGCACAAACAGTGGTTTGAGGACAGGCGCGGCGTTATTGTTTCGCCTTCCTCCGTCGCTTTGTGCTTGACTTTTCTCGCCTGAAAAGCGCGAAGAAATAACGCCTGTTCTGCAGTTTACGTTTCTTTATCCACGAATGTCACTACACAAAGCAAGGGCTCTTATCAAGCGACTTCCTGTCACATCAGGACTTAGAAACAGTCTCCTTTCGTTTTATCCGTATGTTTAAATTGATTAGGACAGTTTTTCTGGAGACAGGCTCGGAATCAGACGCGCAGAGCTTATCAAGTGGAAATCAAAGCAACTTCCGGAAACGGAGGAAAAGAGGAACGTTCTGATTCTAGCGACTACGATTGATGACGCCGCCTACAACTCCGATTGTCGATCTTCCTTAAGTCATCTCTGTCCTATGAATCCGACATCAGGTGCGACTCCGCAGATGGCAAACAACAGCCTTAAGAGGTAACGCAAGAAAAAAATAACCTGTTGTGTCCTACCCTAAAAAATCTTTGATGATCTGAATGAGTCACTAACAGCACATTTCCATCTAAATTTACACGGTACCTTCTTGGCTTGCACTGCTGCAAAGGTGTGGCGCAGTGAATGCCGCGAAATATATCTCTTCAATTGTACAGTGCGTTTCCTAAAATCGTTTGAACAAAACTTTCGTATGATTCTAGGGAAAGACATTCAAGAGAAAACTCGGACAATTATAGTCGTTCTCGACTCTACGTCAACAAACACGGAAATCACAGGCAAGACCTCGCGCGCGCAGAATGCCACAGGGATCCCAAAGAAGTGACATAAGGTGTTTAAGACTCTGTTCACACAATACCGGATAACTTTTGCCCCCGCACGTAAACAATACCAGATATGGCTTCTGTTCACACAGTAGGACGGTGATTTTGGCGCGATTTCTGTGACGGAGCTAAGCTGCACCTCGCCGATCTCTAAAGTGGAGAGTCACATATCGTATAGGTGTTCATACTACAACGGATAGCTTTTAAAGTCGGCCCAAAAAGCTACCCGGTTTAATGTGAACATCGCCAAAAGCATCAGGAAGACAAAAATTGACACGGCCACTCCGAGAGTTTCATGCCAACGAAATTATTGTGGGATCGTTGGATTGTAGCATTGTAGTATAGAAATATCTGCAGCGTTAACGCAGAGCCCATGTGTTCGAATCCCGTTAAGTCCCGAATTTTTTTTTGGTCGATCATATCTTCATTTAAATTTGTATTTCCGCATTTGCAGTTCACATCATCATTCTATAGAAATATCATCCATTTCGGATCAATATAGGTTTCTGGGAAACTGCCAACCTACCCCTCCCCTAAGTCAACATTTTGCCCCAAGTGAAAAGTAAATGTTGAATAGAGACCTTAAGATACACCGTTTCAGCCTACGAGTACGGGTAAGCGAACATGTTTACCTCGTAGTTTTATAAAAGGCAACAATTATTTCCCAGATGTGATAATGGCGTAACCATTCTACCCGGTAGCCTACCCGTTTCTCTCCGGTAAGAGACAATCTACTCGTATTTACGGCTACGTGAACGGCTAATTTTCCCGTACACTTACACGGAAACGGTGTATCACAAGGTAGCTAATGTTGACTTAGGGGAGGGGTAGGTGGGCAGTTTCCCGGAAACCTAAATTGCTTCCATCTGCTCAGACATTTTTTCGTCCGCCCTTTCTCGTTAAATCAAGAAATTAAAGTAGAGAGTAGTTGCGAGAACAAGCTGACGCACCGATAGTAAATGTTACAAGAAATCACTCTTCTTTTCTTCCCACTTGGGATTCTGGTTACACGAACGAGAACGAGGGGGCTAGTAGCAGAAAAGTTCAGACCGTAATTGTTAATAACGTCTGGCGAGAAGAGACTTTCATTGGGCCACTTGGTTCTTGTTCCCGACGTTGGTTTTGGCTCTAGGTCGTCAAAATAAAGGAAAAATAAAAACAAAAACAAAACACTCTTTCATATGGTTATTAGCTTAGAGCGGTCACGCCTCCATTGTTCAAATCACCAGCCAGTTTGGCCGGTTTATAAATGTATGTTTACGATTGCGACAGGTTTACTAGGTCACTAACGAGTCAGGTCTTGTATATAAGCGCTAACAGCCAAATTGAGACAAACCAAAGATTAAAAAATGCCTTTTGTCCAAATCGGTGAAATTCAAACCGACGCCATTAGCCGTGACGAAGCGAACGGTGAACTCGACTGTCTGGGAAGGGGCGCATCCCTCAATGACACTATTCAAAACGCCGAAGTAAATTTTCATCCCTAAGATAGCTAGCTGTTTCCGATGTTTTCGTTTCTTGTCGATTCTTGACACTGACACTCAAAGAACACACAAGTCACGCGAAGACAATGAATTCTATATTCACCGCTTTTCCAAGAAAAATGAATCGAAAGCAGACAACTATTTTCCATTTTACAGCTTTTATTTTCCACGAAGGGTTTAAGTTTGCATTCGGATAGCAAAAGGAAAACAAACTTCCAGAGCTATTAGCGTTTCTAACATTCAGTGCAAAGCGCTAAAATTACGTTTAATCGATACTCCCACTGGTCTGAATCTGCCTGTTATGGTTTCATGATAATTTCGCCACAGATGCTCCTTTATGTCAATCTTAGACGTCAAGGGGCAAAAACATTGGGAGATGGCTCTTTAAATTCGTCTTGTACTTCAAAGAAAAGAAATATTAAACCATTAAGCTACGCTGCAGCCGGGTTGATTTGCCTCGTTAGGCTTCGATATTCGAGCAAGTTGCAACAAATGAAACGGGTTGTTCCAGCGCTTCCACGCATCGCTTATGTTCACTTCTATGCAAGGTACTGCCGTTAAAAATGGTAACCCTGTTTGTTGTGATGAGCTGCTCTTCAGTATCTCGATCGATAACACATCTAGAGAGAATATTATGGGCTTCACCAGGCTTCACGCAAATCAAAGATCGGTTCCTCACCTGGTTTGTGCATTCCACGTTTCATTATCGTCGTTTTGATATTTCTACTTTGTTTAAACGACCACGAATGTTCTGTTTGGTGACTACCACAGTGTCAATTAACTGTGTCTTGATTAAACTAAGGCTCTCTTCTGAGACATTCCAGTTTTCAAGCGTTTTGTGACTACTGTGTGCAATAAGAGACCTTTACCTACCAGTGACATGTCGCCGCCGTTTTCTTCGACTACAACTTTGTAAGCTCCAGTTGCAGCACGGATGGGAACACGCCGGAGCAGCAAGGCTCCTCTCTGAATCGAAAGCCTACTGCCTATCGTTCGTAAAAACATGCTTGAATTGACTCTGCTCTGCAAACTGAATTGCACCTAAACAGTTAAGAATTCTATGCCGGTAAGCGCTTGCTGTGACGTTTCATAGCCGAGGGAGGGTGGTGGGTGTTGGCTTAAAAGTGTTACCTGATTGGACGAAACACAATGGAAATAGATTTGACAGGCGTGCTGTGGTGCATCCAAAACAAACACAGACGACGAACGACTGCACGATCACGTTCAAATTTCTGACTTGCGTAGCGGCATAAAGAGTTAGACAATTGTAAAAAAGGAAAAATGTCTCATGGTTTCATTGAAATCACCTTTGGTAAACTGTTCGAGGTATTTACAGAAAATAGATATATTAATAAATACAAAACACTTAAATAATAGGAAGTACGATCCGAAGAGCATCACATGACATGTATAAGGCATTCCTTTTCAGCGGGTTTCTTCTCCTTCTTTCCTCGACGGAAGTGTTTGAATACATTAAGTTAGACACATCTTGTTCGTTTACTTTTTTTTTTCTCTCTCTCTCTATCTCCGCAGAAACCAAGAACTAGTCTGATTCCAGAACGGCCCCAACAACAAAATTACGTATGATAATCAGGTTAAAGGAGCCACGTTCTAGAGAGTTCCTGATATTCGTCGATTACAACGTGTTAAATGGCACGATGCATCCTTTTCCCCTTTTCCTGAAATGACAAATTCTGTGTTCGAGGCGTGCTATTTTCCATTTCTATGCTCTTTTCTATAGAAATGATTATACATCCACTCAACAGTTTCTTTCAGTCATTTCAGAGAACTGATGCATTAATTCTGAAGAAAAAATTTTATCCAATGAATCAACTCATTATTAAAAATGGAGGAGACAAAGCGGTGATAAAAGTCAAGTGATTAATTAGTTTTATATTGTGACGGTCAAAGTTTTCATTCTTTTAGAAAACACATTTTTAATTATGTGACAGTTCTTTGTACCTTCTAACTTTCGAATTTTGAAACCATGTCTTGAACCTTCATTAGGTGGCCATTAAGGGAACCAGGTACCGGCGAGTGGCCTCTCAAAAGAGGTTCATCATAAATTAGTATAATTTTTAGAGGAAATATATTATTAATTTTGAAAAAAAAAATTGTGATGGGAGAAGCATTATTGGTCCACAATCAGTTGACGCCTATCTCGGGCTGTTTTTTTCTTCATCATATTTTTTAAAATAACGCCAAACTAAGTGTATCAAGCACTTGATGGCCACATAATAAAAGTGACAAAAATGGGTTGAACTCTTTTTGGACCAGCCAAAAGGTAGCCTGAGAAAACAGTCGACATTTGGCGACGCTACCACAGGTTTCCCTGTCAAATGAAGTCTGAGAAACGAGCGCAGAAATTCCATACTGATGACGCGTCACTACCCAGATCTGGGTAGTGCTTCTGATTGGTCGTGCCACATGGGAAATTTTATTGAACCAATCAGAAGCACTCCCCAGATCTGGGTAGTGACATCATCATCATCAGTATGGAATTTCTGCGCTTGTTTCTCAGACGTCATTTGGCAGGGAAACCAATGGTAGCATCGCCAAATGTCAGCTGTTTTCTCAGGCTAGCCAAAAGGTGGCCACGGCTGCTTGATAGAGGTGGCCACTTCCTAAGAGGTTTATTTGAGGACTTAGATTACTGGACGCATAAGTAATCGGCTCCTGACGCAACATTCCAGTTAAGTCTTTTAAATGGGGGAGTCATGTAGACCATCTGAGGGGTCATCCAGATCATGTGCTTATTTTTATCATTACATTTGAATCAAAAAATTTTTGTTTCATCTGTTGGGTCAGGAAGCCTTCTTTGTTGGGTCATTGACCCGAGACCTGTCTCTTATCTGGAACATCGCTAGACATTCAATGGATAGTATCTGCTTAATAGATGGCTGCTTAATGGAGGTTCAACTGTTTTCACTTGTGATATTATACTCTCACCTTCTTTACACTTCTTTCCATACACAATTTATTCTAAGGGAATAAAAATATCACTTTAAATAAAAGTAACTACTTGCCACTGATAACTTTGGAATTACCATTCACACCAGAAATAAAATTAAGATACCCTATAAAAGAGGACTGCAAGTGAAAGTTAGATTTACAGTTTTGAAAGAAATCACAGCATTTAGCACTTCCTCAACTGTGAATTAAAAGTAAAAAGGAACTGTAAGATTAAGAAAACTTCACACAAAAATGTTCACAGTTTTTGCTCCTTCTTACTGGCAGTGTAGACAATGTTAGTAACTAGGATTTCGCCAATGCTTTGCTTTTTTTACTGGACTTGACATTTCTTCATCGTCCTCAGCAATATCACTGTCAACACCAGCTCCATCAGTGACTGAATTTGTCAGAATTTCTGGTATTCTGGAGAGATCACCTGAATTGAGAAAACAGAATATAAAACATAAAAATGCAAGCAGCAACAATTGCCAGAGGTACATTGAGTTAGGCACAAAAAATTGGGTTTTCCCCTCTTTTTAAAAACCAGCATTCCAAATTAAAATATTATATTGGATCAGGAGTAGTATAATATTATGAAAACCACTATGTGAATGTGTTCCCTCTAAAATATTATTAATTTATTATTTTGTTAATCATTTTCTACAAACAATGTGTGGTTCCAGAAAATATCCATACCCCCACCACGGAAGACACTTTGATTTGCACCCCCCCACCCCCCAGGATTTTCCGTTCCAAGGGGTCTTTGATGACCCCCCCTCCCCCCAGGAATTTCCAG